ATATTATATTTAATATCTATTTTTTTATTCACAAGATTTAAATTTAAAATTTTATTGATTTAAGTACCATTTTGGTCCCTCAACTTTTCATTTTAACACCAAAATTGTCCCTTAACTTTAAAAAGTATCAAAATTATTTTTAAACTTTCATTTTTGGTACCACAATAATCTTTCCGTAAGTTAAGTGATAAGTGGTGGCAAGTTATCTTGCTACAAAATCACATTTAAAAAATAATAATAATTATGTAAAAAACAAACTTAATGAGATGACATTTTTCTTTTTTCACGTAGTATTTTTTTCTTATTTAAATAAAAACTCACATAATTTATTATTATATTATTCATCTTCTTCTTCCTCCCTTCTTCTCTCTCATCCCTTCGCCCCTTCCTCTTTCCCAGCCTTCTTCCTCTACACCAATGAATGGGTTCACTCAGCAAGCGGAAAGCATGAGTGAAGCGATCCCTCGAAGAAAACTGTAGCTTTACGTTTTCTAGTGTGCCTTTTGCGGCCATCGAAATCCAGATCTTCTCTCAAACCCAGATTTGGGTTTTTCTCAAACCCAAATTTGGGTTTCACACCTAAATTACCTACATCACATCGGCACCACCCATGGTCACTTGATGTCGTCCAACATCCTTCTATCTGATAATCTCGAGCCACGCATCGCCGACATTAGGATTGAAAACATTGAGTGCAGAAAAGGAAGAGATGATGAGGGAAATAACCAAAGCGGCACCGAATTTGATGTGTATTGTTTTGGAGTTATTTTGATAGAGATGTTGATGAGAACGTAGGGGACGAAGGAGAGTGTGAAGCGCGAGGAAGTTCGTGAAGGAAGGGGTTGGGATTGAGGTGTTAGACTTTTTTCTTATTGATTTCGGATGGCCAAATTTGGGTTTTTCTTCCTTATTAATTTTTCTTCCTCTCCAAAACGAACCCAGATTTGGGCTTGAGACAAACTCTACATTTCTCCATCCACCTTCGCTTCTCTCCTCACTCGCCATTTCTCCTCCGAATCAGTGGATACTGCTGTGAAGAAGAGGGTTGAGGACATAAATCCAATTACCACAGGGCACGAGCATGAGGAGCTTGAAGCTAAACTTTAGGGGCAGAAAATTCTTGAAGATTTTAACAATCTTGTTGGTCCTTTTGGCACAAAGGAAGCTCTTGTAGTCATCAAATCCTTCTATGACAAGAGAATAGTTGGGTGCCCAAGAGCTGAAGGTGAGGATGAGCATGATGTTTTTTGGTTTTGGCTGGAGAAAGGCAAGCCACATGAGTGTCCAGTCTGCTCACAGTACTTTGCGCCGGAAATAGTGGGCCCTGGGTTTGTCTCAAACCCACCCTTTTGCCCTCAAATCCCCCCTCAATCACCTAGCAGAATCCATAAAAATCACCAAGACATGAGGGACCAAAACTTATCTTGAAACCTTATCTTTTCTCTGCATTTAAAGATTCTTCTTTGTTTCTCTCAAGAACGAGCTAGCCACTGATGAGAGCTTCATTTTTGTTCTGTTTTTTCAAACTTTTGTGGTTGATTCTTGTTAATGATTTTTCTACTTTTCTTTGTCTTGATGGAACTAGAATTTTCGATTCTCTTTAAACTAGTTTTCGTTGGTTTCCGTGCTGATTTCGCTAGCATTTTGGGTTTTAGTTTACTACATATTGAGTCTTCAGTGGTTCGGTACTGTTTCTTTTTGATTTATTCGCACCCATGTGATTTGATTTGGTTTGGTGAAATTCAAATATGTATTTGAGGTTTTTTTGTTAGATTGTGATTTCAGTTTTTCTTTTGTTGTGTTTTAGTGGTGTCGGAGGAGTCATCTGGGTTTTTTCAATGGTGTCGGAGGAGTCATCTAGGTTTGAGAAAAACCCAAATCTGAGTTTGATTTGGAAAGGAAAAAGAAGGGACAAGAGAGAGAAAGTGAAAGAGGAAGAAAAGATGACATGGATGGAAAAAAAATCATTATTTTTAAATTAAATAAAATACCAACTCATAAGAAAAAAGGTGCCATGTCATTAGTTAAAAAAAATTGATTTGTTGGCAAGTTAATTGCCACATGTCTATTTAATTGACGGAAGGGTGGTTTTGTTATCGAAAATGAAAGTTTAAGAATAATTTTGATACTTTTTAAAATTAAAGAATAATTTTGGTATCAAAATAAGAAGTTGAGGTACCAATATGATACTTAAACCAATTTTATTTAAAAAAACTCAATTCTTATCATCAAACAAGTCGTTTGTTATATTTAATTATTATAATTCATCTTGTATTTTGGATTTAAATACATGTAAACAATTTATTAAAGTTGGTAAAAGAATAAAATAAATAAATAAATAAATGGTCTACTTTCAACTCAGTAGAGCTTTAAATCAGAAATAGGATGTGAATTTGTTCCAATCCCTTTAGGGATGTGAGATACTTGTCACAGAAACAAGGCAAAAAGAAATATTCCTTCCTGCAAGGCAACGAAAATATTTTTTCCATACAAAATTTCACAAAAAATTTTTCAAACCTCGTGAGACCACGGTCTCCGTTTCCACAGAAAAAAAAAATATATACATATATAAAAATTAATTTTATTTTAAATTTAATTGAATTTTCAAATCTAAATCTAATTTTAAAAAAATTAATATTAATCCAATTTTAGCCAAACCAATTCAATCCAATACAATCCAATCCGGCCTATAAAAATTAACCCAACCCATTGTTAACATGACCTCTTAACCCTAACCTTCCTCTCATCCTTCTCGCGAATCTCACCTGCTCACCTTCCCGAATCCCCTCCCTTTCTACCGTCGGCACCCCCAGAGTCGGACTACTGGAGTGGACTGCTGCTGCTGAATCCATCTGGACAGACTGAACTGCTACCATCGAACAAGAAGCCATCTGCCGAATCCATCTACCTTGTTGCTGCCGATCCAAACGGTTAGAAGTTTTTTTCCCATTCATTCTCTTTTTCTTTTTTGTTTTTTTCAAAATTTTCTGTTTCTTTGTTGGTCACCATTGTGCTTAGCTACCTGGGGTACAAGATCTAGGGTTTTTTTGTGGTTGCCGCTCAACTTAGATTTCAACATTTAGCGGACAGAAGGCAAGGCTGCTCCTATCGTGTGAAGTTGATGAGAAAAAATTTGCAGTGATTAAATTTGTAGAGGAATTTGTAGCTGAAAATTAAATTTTGAAGGGGAATTAGAAGAACAGAATATTTTGAATTTGAGTTTTTTGAGTTTTTTTAGTTTTGATTCGAAGAGATGAATTTAAATTTGTTGATTAAATCTGATTTTGATATGAAGTTGAATTGGTTTTGTAATTTCTTCTTCATCTCGAATCTCAATTACGAGATCTGGTGTTTTTGACATCCCTAATTTATTCAGGAAGAAGAAAATAAGCGACTTTAGTTTGCATTTAGGAAGAAGAAAACTCGTGCTTCAGCAAAGCAGAATGGATCCGCAGCTCACTGAGGTCTCTCATCTTTTCGAGCGATTCAAAGCAGCCTTCATCAGGAAGGATTACGATTTCTGCACCAATCTCCTTTCTCAGCTCAAGGTACAATTCGAACTTTTCAGAACCCTAATTCTCTCTTTCTCTGATTTAATTTCTAATCTGCATCGCAGCATTCACTGCGGTTGATTTTCAAAGTTGTGTGTTGTTTGTCATCTTTGGAGGGAATAATGAATGGAACTTGCCTTTTGATTGCTTGATTTTCATGGTGTTAAATTAGGAAGAGATTGTTGAAATTGCTAGTGTTAATATTGAAATTGTTGCTAGCAAGTGATGTGTTAACTCTCAAGATCAAATATAAATAATCTTGGAGACTGGAGTCAGAAACTTAATTGATGCAAGGAAGGTAGGGGGTAGAACAAACAGACACTAAGAACTCCTTAAAATTAAAGATGGAACCAAGAAAACTTAGGTTTTCAACCTCAAGTTTATTCTCAAACTAAAAATATCATAACAAAACTGATTTAGAGATCTAAAGATAATTATATATACTAACAGTTGCCAAGAATCCTCATTCGATACAAATTTGAACTTCTAATAACCTACTAATTCTAGTCCTAATCAGAAATCACATGCTATCCACATGGCTTCCCTAAAATTAGAACTTAGACTCCAAATAAAACTCAAACTAAAACAAATAATTAAAAAAACACTTTATGCTCCTGCATCATTCTCGCTGGGTTGGAAATTTAGGTTGGTTCAAATTGAAAGACTTGTCAGCTTCAACATGTTTATCTGGACCAATTTTTCTGAATTTCCCCCCTGCAATCCAGGTGCTGTCAAATGTATATTTATCTGGAGCACTTTTCTTCCATGAAGTCCTCCAAAAGTGTCCCTTAAACTTTACACCCCTATAACGAACAATGGATGTTGGAATTTGTTGTAGTCTCACTACTTCTTCCAAAAATAAATCAACAACTTGTGTGGCATCTGAAATTTTAGAACAAAGAAAGAAGTCTGCCGTTTTGTTGTATAATTCAAACTTGCTGGTAGGCAGATTAGTTAAACTTGCTGCTGGACTAAAATCAAAGTCATGTTGAATCTTCAACATTGGCATCATCCTTTCTGGTAGTTCCTTATTTTCTGACCCTTTAATCTCTTTTAATAGCTGCAGATTTTCATTAGGTTGTATAGAATTTTCTCCTTTTTGTTTTTCTCCCAACAGCTTATTTAAAACAGCGTGTTTGACTCCTACCTCTTGACTTTTAGCTTCAAATTTCTCAGCAGATGCATAACCAATTATCTTGCTATTAGCTAGAGATTTTTTTTCTTGATTGTCTTCCCTTAAAGAATGACTCCAATCTTGTCCCTCTTCTTTAGTTATTGCCATCATTCCTTGAATCATTAAAGATTCTTCTTGAATTGAAAGAATGTCCACTTCTTCAATTTCATCACAATAAACATCATAAACTGGTTCTAACATGTCACCACCTTCCTCTTCAATCAAATCAAGGGTATGTATCAACCACTCTTCCAATCCACCTCTTACTGCTTGATTTGCGGTTCCAGCTTCATGAAAAGGGTTATCATCCCTTCCATCCACACTCTCATCCTCCAGACTACCTTCCGGAGTGTCTGCAGGGTTTTGGTCACCTTCCGGCATCTCCATCCGGGCTCCCATGGGTTCCTGTCGCTGCAAAGCTTGCACAGCTCGCGACAAGTCCTCAATCATACGTCGCATCTCAGCTAATTCTGCTTGTTGGCCTTTATTTCCTCTGCCACGAGCAGCCATAGCTCTGATACCAATTTGATGCAGGGAAGGTAGGGGTAGAACAGACAGACACTAAGAACTCTGTAAAATTAAAAATGGAACCAAGAAAACTTAGGTTTGAACCTCAAGTTTATTCTCAAACTAAAATTTCATAACAAAAACTGATTTAGAGATTTAAAGATAACTATATATACTAACAGTAGCCAATAATCCTAATTCAATACTAATTTGAACTTCTAATAACCTACTAATTCTAGTCCTAATAAGAAATCACATGCTATACACATGGCTTCCCTAAAATTAAAACTTAGACTCCAAATAAAACTCAAACTAAAACAAATAATTAAAAAAAAAACACTTTATGCTCCTGCATCATTAAATATCTGTGAGTTAGCATAAATAGGTATTTTTTCTACACAAAGTCTTCAAATTTTGTGCTACTTTGAAGTTGGATAGATCTGGGCTTTTTGCCTTTGGTGGATGGCTGGACGCAAGAAGGGAGTAGAATTTGACTTTTAATTGTTTTTGTTGTGTTTCCTTTGTCTGTTTATTATTCTGGTTGGTTTAAATTTTGATTTTAAAATGCAGAACATATAATTTTGATTGTTTCATCTTGCAGGTATTACTGACCAAGTTCAGAAGCCTTCCACCTTTGTTTGAAAACACCCCTAATGCTGTCAAAGAACTGACACTAGCAAGTATTGTTTTCAACACTCCTAACATTTTTCCTTTGCCTTGGATTTTGCAATGTTATATCTGCTCATATTCACTTTAAGAATATATTACATTTTGTGAACAAGTTATCTTGCACTTATGAATTGAATTATAAAGTACTGAAACTAATTCTAACATGGTAAAATGATGTGATTTAGGAAGTTGGAAAGCTGAAATTTTAACTGAACTTTATGCGTAAGCCTTTTTTTTTGGTTTCTAAATCATGTGAAGTCAGTTGTATCTTGTTTATTTTGCTTATGAGGAGAGTGGATCTTTTGGAAGTTGATTTCAGTTCTATGTCATTAAGGATTCTTTTCCAATGATATTTTTCCATTTCCTTCTGATAATTTTCAGGAGAAATTTATGAGCAAGCTGTTGTACTTAGTGTGAAGATTGAGGATCAAGATGCCTTTGAGAGAGATTTCTTTCAGTTGAAGCCCTATTATACAGATGCTGGGTAAGTAATTCTCTGAAATAGTTATGGTATCCTAGCTGTCTTCCTTAGGTGCAAATTGAAGAGGGTGGTAATTTTACTATGTGAAGTAAAAGATGGAATTTAAGATGCATGAAATAGATCTAGAAGGATCACAGCAACAACTAAACATTGATGCATCAGTGATGCAGGGAAGGTAGGAATAGAACAAACAGAAACTAAGAACTCCGTAACATTAAAGATGGAACCAAGAAAACTTAGGTTTTCAACCTCAAGTTTATTCTCAAACTAAAATTTCATAACAAAAACTGATTTAGACATCTTAAGATAACTATATATACTAACAACAGCTAAGAATCCTAATTCAATTCTAATTTGAACTTCTAATAAGCATTGAACTTCTAGTAAGCTACTAATTCTAATCCTAATTAAAAATGACTTTCCTAAAATTAAGACTTAGATTTCTATTAGGACTCAAACAAATAATTAAAACTTTATGCTCCTGCATCATTCTCCCGGGGTTGGAAATCAAGCTGGGTTCAAACAGAAGGCCTTGTCAGCTTCAGTGTATATATCAGGATCAATCTTTCTTAACTCTTCCTCTGTAATCCAAGTACTCTCACATGCAGGTTTCCCTAACCATTTCACCAAAAATTGTCTATATGAATTGCCCCTTCTAGACTTCACTTCTTTTAACATCAAGTACTTCTTGAATAACATCCTGCTGTACTCCTGTAATTTATTTGGCTTGATTCATAACTGACTCAATTTCCCCATCAAATCCCTCAAATGCGTATAGATCAGAAATATTAAAGATGTAACTGATTTGTAAATCAGATGGCAGTTCAATTAAATAAACATTTGAACTAATTTTCTTCAATACCTTGCAGGGTCCAAATTTCCTTGATTTCAGTTTGTGATAAGTCCCTTTTGGAAATCTTTCTTTCCTTAAATGAACTAATACCAAATCACCTTCCTCAAACTCTTGGGCTCTTCGATGCTGGTTAGCAGCAGCGGCCTAAGCTTCATTGCTATCCTTCAAAGCAACTCTAACTTCCTTATGAACTTGTTGAACATTCTTAGCAAAAGCCTCTCTTTCATCACTAACTCGAGCCTCTTGTGGTAATGGTACCAAATCAACAATATTCCATAAGCTGCCTCAAAGGGGGTTTTTTTAATAGTTCTGTTGACTGAGTTGTTGTAGGCAAACTCAGCTTGTGGAAGGATGAAGTCCCAACTCTTAACATATTTTCCAACAAGACATCACAGCAAATTCCCTAAGCTTCTGTTCACTTCTGTTTGGCCATCTGTTTGTGGATGGCAAGTGCTTGAATATCTTAGCGCCATTCGAAACCTCTTCCATAAAATCCTCCAAAATGCCCCATAAACTTAACATCTCGGTCAGAAACAATAGATGAGGAAATACCATGAAGTCTTACCACCTCCCTAAAAAATAAATCAGCAATATGTGTAGCATCTGAGGTCTTAGAACAAGGAATGAAGTGTGCCATTTTTGAGTAACAATCCACAACTACAAATATAGAATCATATGCTTTTGCTGTCTTTGGAAGACCCAATACAAAATCCATGCTTAAATGGATCCATGGTGCTTCAGGTACTGGTAAAGGAGTATATAAGCCAGTATGTTGTGAGCTCCCTTTGCCAAATTGAGAAACTGAACATCCCCTAACAATTCTGTCCACGTCCTTATACATATTTGGCCAATAATATCAGTCAGTCACCATGGCCAATGTTTTATCTCTGCCAAAATGTCCCCCTAAACCATTGCCATGAAGTTCTCTGATGATCTGCTCCCTTAGACATCCTTCAGGGATGTACAATTGATTGCCTTTAAATAAATAGCCATCATGCTACCTAAATGGCAATTTGTTTGTGCCATTTGTTCCCATTACTTCCTCAATAATATAACTGAAGTATGAATCAACTTTGTACTGATTTTTCAGTTCTTCGAATCCTAAAATCTGATTGGCCAACACTGTTAGAAGCAAGGTTCTCCTGCTTAATGCATCTGCTACAAAATTTGATGTTCCACCCTTATACTTCATTGAGAAGTTGAATTCCAAAAGAAAAGAGCTCCATCCAGCATGTTGGCCACTGAGTTTCTTTTGAGGACTCAAGTACCGCAAGGCTTGGTGATCCAAGTATAGCACAAATTCCTTGTAAGCCAAATAATGCTGCCAATGATGTATGGCACGTACCAAGGCATAAAATTCCAGGTCATAGGTTGAATATCTCTGTTTGGAATCTGTTAATTTTTCACTAAAAAACTATACTGGTCTTCCCTATTGACTAAGGACAGCCCCAATCCCATTATGTGATGCATCGCATTCAACTACAAACAATTTTCCAAAGTCTGGCAATGCAAGAACAGGTGCTTCTCTCATCAGATTTTTAATCTGTTCAAAGGCTGTCTGGGCAGATTTTGTCCATTCAAAATTGTCTTTCTTCAAACATTCCGTTATAGGATTCATAATAGAGCTAAAGTTCCATATGAACCTCCTGTAAAACGAAGCTAACCCATGAAAGCTTCGGATTTCCTTGAGTGATTGAGGTACTGGCCATTCCTTTATTGCACTCACTTTTTCTGGATCAGCTTTCAACCCTTCTTTAGATATGATAAACCCCAAAAATACAACTTCAGGCTGCAAAAATGAGCACTTTTTAAGGTTTATGAAGTGTTTCTCCCTGTTTAACACTTCTAGTACTTGTCTTACATGAGTCAAATGTTCTTCCTTGCTTGAGCTATAAATCAAAATGTCGCCAAAATAAACAACCACAAAAGAAAGGTGCCAATGCATCAGTCATCGCCCTCATAAAAGTACTTGGTGCATTTGAGAGGCCAAAAGGCATCACTAACCAGTCATACAGACCATCAGGGGTCTTGAAAGCTGTCTTCCACTCATCACCACTTCTTAGTCTTATTTGGTGATATTTGCTTTTCAAATCAATTTTTGAAAACACCATAGAACCAGCCAATTGATCCAGCATATCCTCTAACCAAGGGATGGGAAATCGACATTTAATTGTGATTTTGTTAATTGCATGACTGTCCACACACATTCTCCATGAACCGTCCTTCTTTGGAGTAAGGCTGGGCAAGCACAAAGGCTTTTACTTTCACGCACTAGACCTTTGGCTATCAACTCTTCAACTTGTTTTTGCATCTCAGCTCTCTGAATGGGTGGCATTCTGTAGGCAGGCTGATTTGGTAAAGCTGCTCCTGGGACTAAGGCAATGGCATGTTGTATGTTCCTCATTGGTGGTAAACCTTCTGGTAGTTCCTCTCTCACCACCCCCTTGAACTCTTCTAATAACTCCTGGATTTCCTTAGGTAGAATAGAATTTCCTCCTTTTTGTTCTTCCTCTGACAGTTTATTTAAGACAGCATATATGACTCCTACTTCTTGACTGTCAGCTTCAAATTTTTCAGCTGAGGAGTAACAAATTACGTTATTAGCAGCTAGTGTTCCTTTTACTTGTCCATTCTCCCTTAAAGGATGCAATGCATATTTCTTATTATCCTTATTAAAGGAATAAGTGTTAGGCTGTGTGGTGTATCATGTCATGGTCATACAACCACGGCCTTCCCAAAAGAATATGTGCTGCATCCATCAGAACAACATCACGTAAAGCTTATCTTCTAAGTTACACCCCATTGTAAAATTTACCAATCAATTCGTCATAACTGGTATCTCTCCTCCTTTTTTAAGCCATTGAATTTTATAGGGATGGGGATGCTGTTCAGTAGGTAGTTTCAATTTTTCCACTGCCTCCTTTGAAATCACATTTTCCACACTGCCATTATGAATAATTAGGTTGCATACCTTGCCTTCACAAAGAACACGTGTTCAGAAGATACTGTGCCTTCTCCAATCTTCTTCTTCTTCTTTTGTTGTTGTCATCACTCTCCTAATCACTAGGGATTCACCTTGAACTGGAAAGACATCCACTTCTTCATCTTCAGCATAATGATTATCATCATAAATTGGTTCTGATGTGTTACTGAATTCCTCTTCAAAGTCAGTTAAGTTCACCTGACGTTGGGGACAAGCATAAGAGTAGTGTCCCCTTTCTCCACAACTAAAGCACTGAATTCTTGAATTGCCTGTTTGTTTGTTGGAACTAGATGCTACATTCTTACCTTTGTCAATGGCCCCACTGGTTTTGTTAATTATAGCAGTCCCTCGGCCTTTATTATTTCCTTGTAGATTATCACTTGTTCAGCCAAACATAGGTCTTCTAGCACCATAACGATTTACCCTCTTCTCTGCCATTAGAGCATATTGTTGAGCATCTTCAAGGTTATATAGTCAAACAATCCCTATTTCGTCCCTAATACTCTGATTCAGACCAGCTAAATATCTTGACGTTGATTGTTCACCAGTCTTGTTCAAATCAATCCTATATGACAAGTTGTTGAATTCTGAAGTATACTCTTCTACTGACATTCTGTTCTGTTTCAATGTATGAAATTTTTCATACAACTCCATTGCATAATCTGCTGGCAAAAGTTGTTTGTGCATCTTTGTTTTCATGTGCTCCCAGGTGCTGATTTTTGGTTTGCCTCGTCGAGAACGCTGTTCTTCAACTGTTTTCCACCATTGAAGTGCAGCTCCTTTCAACTTCAGCTTCACAAAAATCACTTTCCTATTTTCTGCCATGTGCTTCCAGTCAAAATAATTGTCCAAACTAGCTTCCCAATCTAAATAATCTTCTGCGTGCATCTTTCCATGGAAATCAGCAACTTGAATTTTAATTCCTTCACCATTCAAATCAAGGGCATGTATCAACTGCTCTTCCAATCCACCTCTTACCGCTTGATTTGCGGTTCCAGCTTCATGAAAAGGGTTATCATTCCTTCCATCCACACTTTCATCCTACAGACTACCTTCCGGAGTGTCTGCAGGGGTATGGTCACCCTCCGGCATCTCCATCCGGGCTCCCATGGGTTCCTGTCGCTGTAAAGCTTGCACAGTTCGTGACAAGTCCTCAATCATACGTCGCACCTCAGCTAATTCTGCTTGTTGGCCTTTATTTCCTCTGCCACAAGCAGCCATAGCTCTGATACCAGTTTGATGCAGGGAAGGTAGGGGTAGAACAAACAGAAACTAAGAACTCTGTAAAATTAAAGATGGAACCAAGAGAACTTAGGTTTTCAACCTCAAGTTTATTCTCAAACTAAAATTTCATAACAAAAACTGATTTAGAGATCTAAAGATAACTATATATACTAACAACAGCTAAGAATCCTAATTCAATTCTAATTTGAACTTCTAATAAGCATTGAACTTCTAATAAGCTACTAATTCTAATCCTAATTAAAAATGATTTTCCTAAAATTAAGGCTTAGATTTCAAATAGAACTCAAACAAATAATTAAAACTTTATGCTCCTGCATCAATCAGAATGGTTAAATTGTACTGTAGGATAGGATCTAACTGTAGATGTTTTGTGTCTATCAAACTGAAATGTTTGACGACCAATTTAAAAGCAAAGGAGATCAAAGATATTCCCAATGCCTGCCTTGCTTAAATGCAATAATCGGCAATACTAACATAGTAACATGACTCCTAAAACACTCTTAAAACAATCTAATCCTAATAAAACTAGCAAAACTAATTATATGCTAAAATTACTCTTGAATAATGATAATAATTACTTGAGAATCTTAAATATTGTAAATAGGTCTTCCATAGCTTCTTGTTCCTTGCGACTTATTGTAGATGAATTAAGATTACTTTTGAAGTTGTCTTTCCAAATGGAAGGTTGTCCAAGGATATGTCATAATCTAATCAAATATTTCCTTTAACCAACCCTAGCATTTTGTTTATTATCCTTAGTCTCTCTCATTGTGCCTATCCTTTATAGAAAGGTATTCTGATTTCTGATGCAATTTTAATTGATAAATTAGCATTTGACATATTTAACACTTCTTTTACCTGACATTGTAAGACTTTTAATTGATTAAGAAATTGAAGGCAATGTTATGGCATCTTTTGGTCTAGTATAACTGACCAGTTTCTGAATGTTATTTAAGGACAAAGCTAGTTTTTAACCTTTTATAAATTGTTGCTATTAAGTTCTAATGATAATCTTATGTGAAATCTTTTATTTTATTTTTTATCAATATATGATGCTAATGATTTTCCTAATGCTTATGATGGAGCAGCAGCCGTCTCCCACCATCTCTTCAGGAGTACCCCATCTTGGGTCTTAACCTTTTGAGACTTCTTGTCCAAAATAGAATTGCAGAATTTCACACGGAATTGGAACTGCTGTCTCCCTCTGCTCTGGTGAATCCTTGCATCAAACATGCAGTGGAGTTGGAGCAATCCTTTATGGAAGGGGCTTACAACCATGTTTTAAGTGCAAGGCAGACTGCTCCACATGAAACCTATGTTTATTTCATGGATCTGCTGGCAAAGACTGTAAGGTTGTGTTTTTTTCTTTCATTTTTTTTTTTGTTAACTTCAATTTATAGTAATTCTTTGAGAGTCAAACAAATTTTGAAGTCAGACAATGACAATGTGGCAAATTTTTTATCATCAAACTCTCATAGGCTGCATAATTAAATCCAACTCCAGTTTTATTCAGTCTTCAACTTAATGTTCTTTTTTCCCTATGTTTTTGTAAAATTGAGGAAAAATGTACTTTGGCCATATTAATCCATAATATAATGCTGAACTGGCAACAAATGGTCAAAACATGACTTGAATTTTGGCTACCATGGGAAAAAGTAGATACTCTAAAATCATTTTAGATATCCAATTTACTATGTTATCATTCTGCTACTGTACCTTAATTTTCTGTTTATATGTTATGTTTCAATGAAACCAAATCCATTATAGTTCTGTTATGTAACATGCTAAATTGAACGGGAAATAAATGCTGAAGTGTTCAATTGAGCAAAATTAAAATTGAACTATTGAATTGAACAATTCATGAAAGCTAGAGGCTCAATTTCCCTTTTGCCTTATAAAATCTGTAATCCAATGCCGATACATATAGAATTATAGTTTATAGTTGATAACTTACGTAACAAAGTTATCTGCTGGTAGTGGTTATTAGTAAACATTTCAGTGCAGAATAATTCAACTAATGACCAGGGTAGACACAAATCTGGTATCTGAGTTTTATCAGGTTAGGAGTTGATGACTGGTGGTAGTTGCATCTTCATCTGCTTCTTTTGTCTTTCCTTTAATTTAGTATTTGATGTCATGTTATCTTCCTTTCTTGGTGAATAGAAATGTCAGGTTTAATTGTTTGGGCCAGGATCAAACCTGGGCATCTACTGTTTGAGGCTCTTCAGAGTTTTCATTAATTTATTTCTATGGTTATTGCTCATTATTAATCTTTCTTTTTCTTACAGAGATGAAATAGCTGGATGCAGTGAAAAGGCATATGATTATCTCTCAATAAATGATGCTCAGCAAATGTTGTTGTTCTCCTCAGATCGAGATCTCTTGGAATACATTGAGGCGGTAAACATTGGTTTAAAATGTGTTCTTTCTTCATTTTGCTTTCTTGAGTAATTGCCAGCCAAATTAAGGCAGAGGAATATGTAGCTCCACCCAAGATATGTGGGATGGTGCCAAGCTTATTCTAACCTCTTTGCTTGATTACAGGAGCATCGTGAGTGGGAGGTAAAGGATGGAGCTGTCTTCTTCCAGAAGGCAAAAGAATCTACTCCTTGTAAGGAGATTCCATCCCTGCAACTCATCGACCAGACACTCAGTTATGCGAGAGAGTTGGAACGAATTGTGTAACAGTTGGTTGATTTACTGAGGATCTCCATATTATTATCCTTTTCTGAAGTTGGGTCTTGTTGAGAATTGAAACTTCGTGTTAAAGCTTTAGTGGAATATTTACTTTGTCCATTTACATTATCAACCATGTGTGATTCTAGGTTTAAACAATTGTTGGCTGAATGTTTTATTTTCTAATGCATCTCAACTTTTAAATTAATGGATATTCTTAATCGTCTCATATATTAAGGGCACGTGTGGTACCTAGGGTAGTATAGCACAGGACAAAAGTTCAGCATCCATTTCATCAGTGATATTGTCAGTTTTGACCTATGGGTTGTAGGATTTGTCTAGATGTTTACTGTATTACTGTTTAAGAGGTTACGTGGAGTGGTGTGTTATGGGTAATGACTAAACTTATTACTAAATGGGCTATTTTGACTCATTAGGGTTCATGGTTTTAACATAAATGATAGCACATGTAATAATATAGTTTATTAGTGATATCCTGTCTATAACTTAGTTTATTAGTAATATTATTTGTTTTAACTCATTAAGTTTCATGGTTACACCTATATAATGACTTAGTCCACTAGTTATATCATTTATTTTGATCCATTAAGAAAAATTAAAGGTTAAACCCCCATTTTGGTCCCTCAACTATTGTATGGACCTCCGACTTAGTCCCTCAACTCAAAAAATCCCTGATTTAGTCTTTACTGTTTACCATTTTTACTCCGATTTGGTCCTCCGTTAAAAATCACATTACTTATGCTGTTAATTTATTGTTATAGGATGACGTGGCAAATTATCATACACATGGCAAAAAAAATAATAATATAAAAATAATAATTAATAATATGAAAAATAAAACTTTAAAAAGCTCTTTTTTTCTTTTTTTTCTTTTTTCTTCTCTTCCCCTTTCTCTATACCCTTCCCCCCGCAAAAACCCAGCAGTCGATGCTGGGTTCCTCATAACCCAGGCTCTGGGTTCAAGGAACCTAGCACTGGATTCGACGAACCCAAGCTCTAGGTTCCAAGGAACTCAGCTGGGTTCGTCGAACCCAAGCACCCAAATTGCCTAGGTTCGTCGCTTGGGCTTGGGTTCAACGAACGCAAGTGAACCCAGATCGTCGCCTGGGTTCGTCGTTTGGACCTGGGTTTGACGAACCCAAGCCCAGGCGACGATCTGGGTTCGCCTAGGTTCGTCGAACCCAAGCCCAGGCGACGAACCCAGGCGATTTGGGTTCGTCAAACCCATGCGTTGGGTAGGACAAACCCAGCTAGGTTCGAAGGAACCCATTGCCTGGGTTCGACGATCCCAAGCTTTGGGTTCTTTCAAACCCGGTGCTGGGTTCGATGGCACTGGGTTCTTCAACAAAAAAATAAATAAATAATTTTTGTGTTTTTGTGCGTGTTGTTTGATGATGACGATGATGACGATGATGAATTGATTGATGAAGAAGGAAAGGAAGAGCGAACCCAGCACCGGGTTTGATTGAACCCAGGGCACTGGGTTCTTCAACAAAAAAATAAATAAATAAATTGTGGTTTTGTGGGTTTTGTTTGATGATGATGAATTGATTGATGAAGAAGGAAATGAAGAGGAAGGAGAAAGGGAATGAGGAACGCCGAGTTGGGTTTGAAGGAACCCATGGTGACGGGTTTGACGATCCCAGGCTCTGGGTTCAGGAAATGAAGAGGAAGGAGAAATAATTTTTAAAATTTTTATTGCCATGTCACTAGCTTTTGCCATGTTGTCTTTCACGTAGATTAAAATTTTGACATGTCATCATCTTACCGTGAATTAACAATACACGTGGAGGGATTTTTAACGAAAGGACCAAATTGGGGTAAAAATGGTAAACAGTAGGGACCAAGTCAGGGATTTTTTGAGTTGAGGGACTTAATCGGGAGTCCATACAATAGTTGAGGGACCAAAAAAGAGGTTTAACCAAAATTAAAACAACCAAAAAGAGGCACTTTGCCTTTTGCGGTTGGATGGTTATAAATTTGGTTTTAAGGTATATCCTTAACTCAAGAGTTGGGATTTGAATTCGTTTTTTCAAAATGTAAACGTGTTCAAAAAAAAAAAAAACACCAAAAAGGGTATCAATTAAGAGTGAAAGTGAGAGGCGCATGAGCCACGGCTGTGCCAGGGGGGATTTATCTTGGTGTGTTGGAAAAATTTGGATGGTATTGGTCATGGGCCACGAGATTGGTTAAGAAAACTTCGCTACTTGCAAAAGAAAAAAAGTTGAGTGTGTTGGAGTTGTATTTGGTGAAAACAGTCTCAAAATCGATCCATCGGTAATGGAAGGGATAAGAGAACATGCAAAGTGTGAATGAGTGGAATTATCATGCGTGTGCAAAGGGTGCACGAGATTTTAAGGGTGGTAGTGTTCACCATTAGGGTTTGGAAATATTTTCTTTTAAGATTTTTCAAGGGTGTTTTGATTTTTATACCGCTTAAACCATAATAAATAAAAGGAGAAAGCATTATTTTTAGTTTTTAGTTTCCTTAGCATAATTTTTAATTTGTTAATTTTTCTTTTCACATTTTCTTAAAGGAAAAAAATTTCTCACGTCTTTCTTTATAAGGAATTCATTTAACAACTTTTTTTTTATTAAATTTTCTAATGTCAATTTTTTTTACTAAGTATAAAAAATTAACAACTAAATAAAATTCCAACAAACTTCATTAAAAACTTAATAACTTTCATACAATATTAAAGTTATTTTTACAGTAAAATTGACCTCTAACTTAAGGTAGCATTCTGGTAATGATTGCGAGACTTAGGGTCTGAAAACAGTATTGAGTTGCAATTGACAACAAACCACATAGGTAAAGCAGCGACTTGGATGAAGTTTAGTGAGAAAGAGATATTACTTAAAGCTATATCGAGAACGTATAAGTAGAGATCGAAAAAGTTATTTCAGGA